CGCGTGCAGCTCTTGAGCGAGCGGTATGGACGCCACCGTCCGGAGCAGTCGCGTACCAGTCGCCCCTGCCCCCTGCCGCGGGCCCGCGCAAGCGGTACTCGACACACCAGCCTCGCACCTCGACCGCCGCCTCCTTGCCCTCCCGCACCACCTCCCTGACCGCAGCCAGAACGTCCGCCGCACTCGCCTCTGCCGCGCTCTCCTCTGCCGCGCTCGCCTCCTCCCGCCCTGCGAGAAGCGGCTGCGCCTCAGTCGGATGCCCCGCCGCCTCGAGCGGCGGGGGCGGCGGCGGCGTGCGCGACGCCCCCCCTCCGGAGGACGCGCCGCTGGCTTCCGAGGCGGGCGGAGGCACGGGCGAGGGCGCGCCGGCGAATGGCGGTGCCGGTTGCGCCGCCTCCCACTCCTCCCAGGCCTTCCGGTGGGAGCGCAGCCGCCGGCCTCGCTCGTGGCCGGGCCGATAGCCGCGGCAGATCCCATTGTCGGTCACCTTGACCCAGCCGGGGGGCGCCTTGCCCTTGCCGCGCCGCGCAGCCAACGCCTCCCGCCGCCGCGCCGCGTGCGGAACCGCCTCGCCCTCAGACCCTTCGCCGTCTGACTCGCCGGGGAAAAGCTCCCCCTCCGGGTCCTCCTCGGCCTCCTCCTCCTCTGTCTCCTGCCCCACCACCTCGACCACCTTCCGAGCCGCCAAAGTGTCCTGCGCCGGCGCCGCGCTCGCGCCGACCGCCGCGCCTGCAGGCGTCTCCGTCTTTTCGGACTCCTTTTCGGGCGAGCGCGCGGCCGTGCCACCGCTCGCCGCATGTGTCCCGAAGATCACGCCACGTATCGGAACGTCGACAGCCGAGCCGCTCATTGGGTCCGGCCGGGCGCTCTGTCGTTGGGTTGTTTTCGGAGTCCGAAAAAAGAATTCTTTTGATACAAGCCTCTCTCACAGCACACTGGCACGACAAGGGCGCAGACTGGCGCGGACTGGCACACACACAGGCTCACCACCGGAGCCGCCTAAGCGACTCCGTTAAGAACGGCAATGCACTCCGCACCATGCACAATGCCGCTCTCCCCGCACGCTAGCTCGTTCACCGTCTGCCACGCCACGGCGGTGTGGAGGACGACAGACAAGCGCTGCATCTGCAGCCCGTGCCAGTTCTTGGTGGTCCATGTGACCTCGTCCAGGTGCTGAGCGTGCGAAAGTTTGTTGCTCAGCTGGTTCGCCGCCTCCCTCATGGCCAAACTCGTCGGCCAGCTGGTTTGCCATCTTCGGTGTCGTGCCAACGATGAGGTACGAGTGCTCAGGCGGCCAGTCGCCGGTGCGCGCCTTGCCCTCACCTGCAAGCGTCAGGAAGCCTCCCAGGTGCTTGACGCGCGCAACGAGCTCCTCATTGCGCTTGTCGTTCTCGGCGCGGCTGAACTCTTGCGATTTTGGATTCCAAGCGGTGAGGAAGATGCACAATTTGGCGCCATGCTTGCGGAGCAGTTCGTCAAATGTTTGCGAGTGCTCATTGATGCGCAGCGCGTCATCCAGCTTGTAGACGATGTAGTCAGTGTTGCGATATGCGGCGTCAAACGCTTCCTCCGCGCCACCAACCGTGAGCCCTCGGTAGATTTTGTGCATAGCCAGCGCGACGAGCACCGCAGCGCTGATGAGCAGAGCGACCCGCGCTGCCACACACATGTGCGTACGTGCGTCCTTTTAGCTCACTGGGAGAACGAGCCCGAGCGGGAAGGGGGCCCGCGCAAACTAAAACGATTGGTGTGCGGCGGATCGGTCGTGTGCGCAAATCTCCTCCGGCGCGACGCTACAGCCAGGGACGGCTGGGAAGTGGCTGCAAATCCCCGATGCTCTGGTCGCTCGCCGCTGTTGGGTTCGGTGCGGCTCGCTCCTCTCCTCTCGTCGCCGGCCGGAGCCGGGCACCCACCGCGCCCCTCCTTCCCTTCCCCCCTCCCCCGCAGGCGGCGCGCTGGCCGTCCCCTCGGCACCGCAGGCGGTGTGGCTGCTCGGCCCTGCCGCGATGGCGCTGCTCGGCGGAGCGCACATCGACTACCGCGGCGATGGGGGCACGCTGAGCGCAGAGACGGAGCGCGTCACCTCGCTCCTCCCATTCGCTGCGATGGCGCTTGGCGGCGGGCGCGCAGGCTCGCTGCAGGCGCTGGCACGCGAGCTCAAGGTCGAGAACGCCGTCCTGGGCGTGCTGCTGGCGGCGAGGTGGGCGGTGGCAAGGGGGAGGTAGAGAGGTCGCGTAAACAGTGAGGACCAGTGTGTAGGGAGGTGCCTGTGGGGGCGCTCAACGGGAGAGAGACGGCGGCCCCACGACGGCGCGCGCGACCGCTGGCGCGGCGAGGAGGAGCAACATATAAAGCGAAAAGCCGTATACGGCTTTACATGAGATACGTGTTCGGCGCGAGACGAAAAAGAATCTTAGAATTTCACGGGCGCACATGCGTCTATAATAACACATACGCATCGTTCATTGTACACGCATCTTGCTGCGCTCGGGCCATCACTCCTGCCCAAAACTCGGGTCCGCCTCGAACGAGTCGAGCGCCACTAGCAGCTTTTCCAGCAGCTCGGCCCGGCTGCTGTACGCCGGCAAGTCGAGCTCGTGCGTGCATGTGTGCGGCTCGGGAAGCGGCACGCCCGGCTTGTCGAGGAAATTGAAGCTCACCTTACGCGAGAGCCCGTTGACAGGCAGCGCGTTGAGGCCCGTGCAGAAGCGCAGCAGCCGCCGCCGCCGCCGCACATCCAAGTGCGCGTCGCCCTCGGCGATGGCTGCGCGCAAGTGCTCGACCGCCGCCGCGCACTCTGCCGGCGGCTCGCCCCACTCGAAACAGTCGAGCATCTCCTGCGTACTGATGGTCGCCTTGCCTTGCAGTAGCAGCGCGAGGTCGGCGTTCCGGTGCTGCGCGAGCTGCAGGCCGAGGTCGAGCTTGCCGCCGAGCGTAAAGCCGTCCCGCAACGCGTCGAGCGAGGCGCGGCGGTCGGTCAGCAACTTGCGGCGGCAGCCGGCGACGACGGCGCGCGACACGTTGGCGCGCGAGAGCGGCTCGTCGGGCAGCGCGTCGTCAAAGGCGTCGAGCGTCAGCGTCGTCGCGGCGAGCTGGTCGTCCGACAAATGCAGCAGGTTGCTCCAGCTCTGCGCGATGACCGGGTCGGCGTTGGCGAGGAGCTGCAGCGCGTATGTCGGGTGCGAGTCGAGGAAGGCGCGCGTCTCGTGCGCGCCACTCAGGAACTCGAGCAGGAAAGAGCTCGGCCCCGGGCCGGTCGGGTGGTCGTCCAGGACCGACTTGAGGAGGAAGCGACCGACGAGAGACAGCCGCTCCTTGTCCGCGTCGGCGCGGGGGAGGTAGGCGCCGCCCTCGGCGAGCTGCTCAAAGAGGCCGTGCTCCGGCTTGAGGACCTCGCGCCAGAAGGATGAGTGCAGGTCCGCAGTCAGCCCGCCCTGGTCGACGCCCGGCTCGCCGACAAAGGTGACGACGGTGTTCCGCCAGTGCAGCGCCGGCGTGCGTGGGTTCGCGCTGCCGAGGAGGTCGAGCACGTTCGACACGAGGCGGCTCCGGACGACGGGCAGCTTCCAGTCCGCCCTCGCCGACTTGAACTCTCGCCTGGCCGCCTCGCGCTGCACCTCGATGTGCTGCCGCAGCGCGAGCAGCTTGGCGTTGAGCTCGAGCGGCTCGGAGGGGCTCTCGGCGGAGAGGAGCGGGTGCTGCTCCGCCGCCTCGACGCGGGCGCGCTTGGCGGGCGGGCTGCTGGCAGCGCCGGACGTGGAGGCGGCGGCCGAGGCCTCGGAATGGTCGCTCACCACTCCGACTCCGCCGACGCCGACGCCGCCGCCCTCGCCAGCACCTGCGGCTCGCTTCCCTCCGGCGGCGGGCGCCATCGCACCCGACCCCGTTCCGCCTCCGCTGTCACCGCTGCTGCTGCCGCTGCTGCTGCCGCCGCCGGCGATGCCCGTGAAGACGGCCGCCACCTCCGCGCCTGCCTCGACCTCCATCGCCTCTGCCCCCACCACCTCAACTGCCGCCTCCGCCGCCTCTGCCTTCGCCTCCGCCTCCACCTCAGCCTCCGCCTCGTCCTCCGCCTCCGCCGAGCCGCTCACCACCGCGGCACCGGGCGGGAGACGGGCGGGGTGCGCTCCCGCCGACGCCGCCGCCGCCGCCGCCTGGATCGTGCTCTCCAGCGACGACTGCGAAAGCTGTGCCTGCGCCCGCTGCTGCGCCTGCTGCTGTGCCTGCGCCTGCTGCTGCGCCTCGGTCATGAGTTTGTGCGCCTGGAACTCGCGCAGCTTGTAGAGCGGGTGGCGGATGTGCCAGCCGCCCTTTAAATCGTCGTGGTCGCGCACGGCGGCGTTCCCCGGCCTGTGCAGCGCGTCGAGGATATAGGCGACGTCCGAGGAGAGGGTGACGGGGATTCCGGCGAGAAAGTTGCCGACGCCCGGTCCGAAATCGACGCCTTTGCCGGCGGCGAGGGGCGTGATGTGCTTCATCACTTGCTGCGCGTTCTTGTGGGAGAGCTTGCCGCGAAAGTACGCCTCGAACTCCCCCAGCCACCCCTCCTCCTCCTCGCGGAGAGAGGTGCGCTGCTCCTCTGTGATTGGAGACCAGCCGAGGTGCGGGGAGCGGTGTGGGTAGCCGGTGCTGCCACGGCTCGAGAGATGCAAGCGCACGCCCTCCGCCTCGGCGACTGGAGGCTCCCGTGCAGCCTCCGCCACCTCCGCCTCCTCCGCCTCCTCCGCCTCAGCCTCCGCCTCCGCCGGAGCCTCCGCCGGAGCCTCCGCCGCCTCCGCCGGAGCCCCGCCAACCGCCCGTGCGAAAGCCACCGCCGCCTCCACCGCCGTGTCAAAGGGGCCCAAGTTCAACCTGCGTCTGCCCACGATGACCTGCGCGAAGAAATGGCCCGCAATAGTATCCTCGTACACGCTCTTGTACCCGGTCGCAATGGGCTGCGGCTCGGCCTGCTGCTGGCTGGCGTGGCGCGCGTACGCAACGGCCGCCTCCACCGCCGTGTCGAAGCGACCGATGTGGACGGTGCGTCCGCCAATACTGCGCTTCGCGTCAAAACGGCCTCTCCAGGTCCGCTTCACCCCCTTGTAGCCGGTGTCGTTCGTGCTGCACAAGTGCAGCTGCATCCCCTCCGCCTCCGTCACCTGGGCTGCCGGCTTGGAGGGCGGTGCCATGAAGCGCTCCGGCGCCGCCCTCCGCCTCCCGCTGCTGCCGCCCTCAAGCATGCCGCTCGAAGTGCCGGCAACTGCATCCTCGCGCTGCTCCGGCGGCACCCAAGCCGACACCTCGCTCAAGGGAAGGAAAGCCCTCGCGACAGCTGGGGCCTACAGCGGCACAGAGCGGAGCTCAGAACGTGGCAAGCGACACAGACGCCGCTCTGCGCCCGGCGTTGTGCCGTCAGGCGGTTCAGAGGCTCGCCCGCCTCGGAGCCGACAAACCTGACGTGCAGCGGCAGGCCGGAGTAGCAGCGAGCGGAGCGCACGCTCAAGAGCACCGCCTTGTAACGCCTCCGCCAGGCGTCCGGGGCCGTCGCGAGGCAGAAACCGCCGACCTCCACCCCCTCCGGCAGCAGCGGCTCCTCCCCAACCCCCTCCACCGGCGCTTGCTGCTGCTCCTGCTCCTGCTGCTGCAAGTGCCGCGCGTAGTCGGCGCCTATCATAGTGAAAAAAAGAATTTAAACACGCTTGAGGCGGAGAGGAAGGAACGAGTGGCCATTACCTAGGTAACAGAACGCCTGAAAGAATTTAAACAAAAGAACTCTCTCTCACAGCACACAGGCTCGACACAGGTGCGAACTGGCGCGTGCTTGCTTGATATCATAAAAGTTGAGACGGTAAAACAGTGAATTCCACGTTCTTTTTTTGTATATTCCTAGACCTGTTCCTTTTTACCCATCTCACAGTAGAGAGGTTCCGTTTTTATCTATTTGTATATTTCTAGCCGCAGATCCACGCACCACGGGGTTTTCGACCCCTTCGGTTTTCGACCCCTTCAAGAAAATGCAACGTTTTCCCGGCGGTACCACGACATGGCCTCCTCATGATACAGTTCTACTACACCGCTCAAAGTAGTCTCGGAAGTCGGACGCGAGCACATGTATCTCTCCTCCCTGCTCTCTCACTGTGTAGACTGCCCCTATTATCGCCGCCGTCTGCGCCGCGCACACCATCCGAGGCTTTGTACCCCGTGTTGCACAGGCTCCTCACGAGCCTGGACACGCGCTCGTACTCGTACCTCATCGCTCCCCTCTCAAGGTGCTGTATAGCTACGGTTAGAGAGATTCCCCCGCCAGGCACCTTCCTCAAGCTTATCTCTCTTGCCCTTGTCTGCGAGCACAATGAGCTCCATCTCCTGCTCACCTAGTACCGTGCCGCTCTGAGCGAGGGCAATGTGATGGAGACGGAGCAGCTCTATTACTTCCTCTCCCGCTCTCTTCCATGTGTAAAGCTGCCTATCGTCTGCTTTTGCATAGGGTCCATCAGACCCCCTATCTGGGTAGGAGCCGGAACCCTGAGCGCGCGAGAGACCGATTCACGGTTGTGTAGCGCCCTCTCCAGGAGTGCCCTGGGCCTGCGACCGCAACATGTCCGCAGCCAAGCGTGCGCGGACTGACGACACCGGCGCCGCAGCCACTCCGGCCACTCCCGCCGTGGGGAGCTGCAACTTCCAGCCAATGCGGCTCTCGGTCGGCGGCACGCTCTTCACAACCACGCGGGCAACGCTCTGCGCTGAGAAGGGCTCTATGCTGGCGACAAAATTCGAAGGCGGAAGCCCGTTTGGTGAGCTTGTGGCCGATGAGACCGGCGCGATCTTTCTCGACACCGATCCGGCCACGTTTACATGGATCCTCGGCTACCTTCGCCGCAGCTGCTGTCTGGCCGGCACCCCACCGCAGCCGCTGCTTGAGCAGGTTCGGGCTGATGCCGATTACTTTGGCCTGTCTGGGCTCGTGAAGGCGCTGGATGCGAGGCTGGCAGCGATTGAGAAGGCGGAGAAGGCGGAGAAGGCGGAGAAGGCGAAGAAGGCCGCGACTCGTTACACGTATCAACACCGTCTGGTTGGCCCGCTGTCGGCGTCGGAGACGGACAGCGACGAAGACCGACGTGCACGGTACGCAAAGTTTGAGCAAAGCATGCAGCAACTGAACGATTCGGCCCAAGCAGGCTATCGCCTCGTCAGCGCGGCAGTCGACGGAGAGGGGAATTATGTCGACTGCATGATGGAAAAGGTCGCTGCGCGGTGAAGAGCCCGCATGAGCCACCGCGGACACCACGGAAGGCGCGGAAGCGGCGGGCTCGCGCGGTGCGTTTCACGGCCATCGATGGCCGAGCGTAAGCTTCAAAAGTCCGAACGATGTAGAACCGGATGCGCAGAACAAGTTGCGCCCTTCTCTCTGTGACTGTGTGACTGCTCACTCCTCACTGTGCAGAGTAGCGGCGCGTACACTCGTGTAATGCGTAAAGCCGTGCGTATTACTTAGTTTCGCGCATCGCGTCGACCCCACAAACGAGAGATTTTTACAACGAGAGAAACGTCGTCAAGCAAACAATGGCGAGTCCAATAAACACGTATGAGAACGCACAAGCGAGGGGCGCCGACCACAGTGCGCGCGCGAGCGAACCGTAAATCGCGTACCACCTCAGCTTCGACGGAGCGCGCGCACAAGCACGCACACTCACACGACACGTACAGCGCTCCACATCTCACAAACAAGCAGTGCTCTATATACTAACGATCGAACGAGCACCCGACGTGGCGGCGGGGGAGACTGAAGACTCAGACCAGAGAGACTACAAACCAGAGACATAGACCCAAGCGGACAGGGTCTCACATGCGCATACGTATACGTACAGCAGGGCGAGGCCCCGAAGCAGCAGCACAGAGCACCAGGCCCGCTTCCTCGGGCTCTTGTGGCGCGTCCCTGCTCACCACCAGTCGTAACCCTTCCTCTCGCACTCGAGCTTGGCGCAAGCGATGCGCCCACCATCGGCCCCGTGGACAACGATCACGGGGCCGTCTTCTTCCCCCTGTGCGTGTTTGGGCGTGTGGTGAGGAGTTGGACCAGAGGTGTGGAACAGGGTCGCGCTGGGCTGGGGATGAGCGCGCGCCAGGAGCTCCGGAAGCGTGAGGCCGGTCGTGGCGGTGAACTCGCCATAGGCGGCGGTGTAACCCGCGGCCAGGACGTCGTAGTCGTTCTTGAAGTCGGTGCCTGCACGAATCGGGTTGGAGGCAGGATGGAAGGGGAAGAGGGGAGATGCGTGGTGCAATCATGTCTCATACCAAGTGAAGATAGGCTTGACACCTGCGCCGGTGCCCCATGGGTCCGCAAAGCCAGGCGCATAATAGTGGCCGCCTCCTGTCGCCCCGCCAGCCCCCAGGGGGGCGCATCCTCCGATGCCGCTGTGGACGTGGACGCCACACGCGTTGGTCAGGCCGTCCACGGGCTCGTCAATGGTGCCTCCTGTCGCGTTCTTGACCGGGTAGATGCCGCCGATGCACTCAGAGTCGAGCCCGGTGAGGCGGAACTTGAAGCTTTGCGCCACGTCGTCAAAGGGCTTGGTGCTGTCGTCGTTCTCCACGAGCACCTGGGAGGAGTGAGGAGTCAAATGACGGTGTGGTGTGTGTCGGCGAGCCCGCAGGCGCAGGTGATCTCTCACCACCCCATCGACGTCGCCGCCCTCTTTGAACTGGACCCACTCGTCGGCTTTGAGGACCTTGCATTTTCTTTGCCAGGGGCGGCCGCCCAGCGAGCGGCGTGAAGTTCGCACCTCGAGCGACGTCGACGACGCCGGCGCCGCGGCGATGGAGAGGATGAGGGTCGAGATGAGGATGTGCGAGAGCATCTTGGCTGTTGCGACGAGAGTGCCTGTGGCGAGAGGGAGCGTGTCAGCGTGCGGGGTAGGTGGAGAGCGTGGAGATGGACCGGAGCTCACAGGTGCGTGAGGCTGCGTGGCGGGCTTGCTTTCCGAATTGCGGCGGATGTGTCCTCCGGTTTAGCGGTCGTGTGCTCAATGCATCCCGAGTTTACGGCCCGAAATCGCGCTGACGGCGTGCCACCCCGCGATTTTCATTTCTTTATATTGCGCGACGGGCCGTGTATAGAAACTCGCGAATATTGGTGTATAGGTAGTTGGTGAGCAAAATGCTTTGACGCATTAATTCTAGGTGGGGCATGAGTGCTAAAAACGCCCTATTACCTCTTTTTGCTCACATCATTCTGCCCGAGCCACCTCATGGGGATGCCACCTCATGATTCATGATCTTTGATGACCTGCAACAGCAACACCATGGCACTCACTGGCATACTCTAGCCCACCTGCGGGGCCGGGGCGACTTCACCCCGACGTCGCCGCGCCGGCATGCGCATCAGCTGCGATAATACGCTGGAAGAACTTGAAGGCCTCCACGACGTGCTCGTCCACCTCGCTCCGAAGCAAATCGCCGTACCCCTGCAGCGCGAGCCACCCTTCAGGACCAGCCTCATCGAATCGGATCTGTTCGGCCTCCGAAGCTAGCAGTGCCGCTGCCTGCTGCTTGAATCGCTGCAGAGGCCCCAACTCCCGTCCCAGGGGCGAGCATTGGCCGAATGGTCCGAAGTGGTGCCCACAGGCTGCCAGCATCACGTCGACCAGCAGCCTGTCAACATCCTGTTTCGTGGACGCATCCCCCATGGCCTGCAGGTAGGACTTCAGGAACGCACGGCGCATTGCGGTCACATCGTCGACGTACGTATACGCGGCTTTCTCCGTCTCCGACGGCCTCTTGTCCTCGTAGTGGAAGCACACGTACGCCAAGTCGTAGCACGCCGCGGTGACGTGCGCGAACTCCAAGTCGACGAACTTCAACGCGCCCTCTTGCATTGCGCGCCCCTCCGCGAGCGCGACCATGTTCGGCTCCTTCAGGTCGCCGTGGCAGGTGACGACCCGCGCGCCGGCTGTGCTCTGCGGCGTAAACATCGGCTGCGCGAACTCGGCCAGCCACACCGGGTCACAGGGCTTCTCGGCGTCAGGCTTGCTGGGGAACATACACTCCATCCGACAGGAATACCACCAGATGTGCGAGTTGGCCGGGACGGTAGCGAGAAAGGGGAACTCCGCTTGCAGCTCCGCTCTGAACGCGTCGAACCACTCAATTGGCATCTTGTGCACCTTGGCCAGCTCCTTGCCCAGCACCTCCATATCAGCCACCGTCGCCAGCGTGGGCTGGCCGTAGCCCTCCCAGGGATCGATGAACCAGTCGACGCCTTGCGCTAGCCGCCGAGGGCTGAGGCCATGCGCGGCGAACAGCCGCGCTGCCGCCTGCTCGCGTGCCTCGGACTCCTTCGTCAACCCCCAGCCCGTGCGGCTGTGGAGCGCCACAGCCCAGTGCTCGACGTCCGCACTCTGGTCAACCCAGACCTTGTACGTCTTGCTGCCACCCTCACCGCTATAGTCGTCGACCTGAATTGCCGTTCGATCTACGATGCCCCACCCATGTGGTTGCAGCGCCTCTGCCACGAGATGTGCTAGAGCGCGCGCATCGGTCTGTAGTTGCTCGGTCTTGATCTCGGTAATCTTCGCTCCGCGCATGCACTCCGCGAATGCGATGGGGACTGCTTCCGCCATTACTCCCAATGTAAGCCGAAGGTCTGGCCCCTGCGTTTTCACCGGACAACTTGAGCCACAACAGTCTTTTGTGGTGGCTGAGGGACAGACGGTTGATGCGTTGAGCGCATCGGAGCACTCGGAGAGGTCGGAGAGGTGTTTCGATTTCGACACCGAGTGTTTTGAACGTTTCTTCGCAGAAGAAATCGTCGACAGAAAAATTCTCTCGCCGGTGTTCACAGAAGTTCACAGAGTTCTGTGAACACCGGCTACTCGGCCTTAGCCGCCGGTACGTCAACAGTAAGTTTTCCGGTGGGGTTTGACCGATCGAGGGCGGACGGACCAAGGACAGTGACGTAAAGTCGGTCTGGTTTTTCCATCCATCCACCTCCCGGTGGGTTTTAACCGACCGAGGGCGGACAACGGACAGTGGCGTAAAGGTCGGTCTGACCCTTTCCCCCCAGTGTATGTGGCTCTTACGAACATACCCGAGGGTGAACTGCTGACAGGGTTTTTTTCCACATCCCGGTAGGTTTTGACCGACCGAGGGCGGGGAACTAGAACGTTCACCAGAATGGGGGAAGAGCTAGGGAACTAACGTTCAGCCACTTTTCGGGCGGGATGGGGTCTCGAGTTTTGTGACCGACCCTTTTTTCGGGTTGGGGTCGCGAGTTTTGTGACCGGCCTTTTTTTGGGACGGGGAGTTTTGTGACATACGCACTTACTTTCTGCCCAGAGCGGTGGTTGAGGCCGATTGCCTCAACTGTCAACCAGCGGGTTGACAGAGGTCTCAACCATCAACCAAGTGGTTGACAGACCCCTTCAACCTTCAGCCACGCGGAATGGCTGTTCACACACACCCCGCGCAAAGGTCTGAACAGTGAACATTCTCTGTGAACATTCATGTCGTCTTCTTGAGATGCTGCATTTGACGTGCCGTTTTTACGAGTACTTGCTTCAGCTACACGTGCGTGGATGGGAGAGGTGTGATGCCAAGCCCAGACGAGGAGCGCTGACAAGCCATCCGCGAAGGCCCCCGCGCACGGGGGGGTCCGGGCCGAAGTCATGGTCGTCCGGACGCGGCCCTCCGTACACGGAAACAGCTTACCGCAGACATTACCGAACTCAAAACTGCTTACCAAAGGTAGACACAAGCTCAGCTCAGTGAAATCTAGCAGCACATGGGGCCCGGGCGCCACCCATTTCTTTTTTGATTTCATTCTCGTTTAACACACTAGCTCACCACACCACGCTCCACCGTCCGGCCATGGCTGGTTCGATGGAGCTCAGCGAGCTCCATCGAACCATCCAACTCCGGTCACCGGGTCTGAACGCGCTCAGCCTCAGGAGGTACCAAACCGCGCGAATTCTGCACGCCTCGCTGCGCCGCTGGCTTGACTGAATGAGGCAGCAGCAGGCTGCTGCTGCAGCAGCAGCAGCAGCCTGCTGCGGTTCCAATACGCAGGTTAATGACTAGCAGCACTGCCGGTGGCATACGAGCCGCCACAGCCGGTGTGCGGCCGTGCACTGCCACCTGCCCGCGGCGTACGCACAATGTGCGCTCGCATTGGATGCCCTGCTGATGGACTTGCGTCGCCGAGCTGCGCAAAGAGCAATGCCGCAGGCGGAGGCCGCGGCGTAGATTGCGAGCACACGCGTTGGAGCGTGAGGAGCACGAGAGCAGGTCGTTCCTGCCCTCTGATGCCACTCTCGCGGCTTGCAGCGCGTCACTCGCGCATGCTCTCCAGGAGCTATGGCGGGCGCGTGTGTGGGGATGTAGCCTGTCTTTGCACTATACTTTGGCGCCGGTTCCGACCCGTTCACTATCTAAACCATGCCTGGGCCACAAGAATCGCACACGGGGAGCGGCTCAGGGGCCCAGTATGCCGCGGAATCCGAATCGCCAAATGTCACAACCCGTGCCACCCACCCACCCAGGGCTGCTGGACCTAAAGCCGCGTAGTCGTGGGTCGCGTGTCCCCCGATTTCCGTCAACCCAGCATCCACACCCTTTACCTCTTACCAGCCGTCTCACCGGCCCACTACTCGCCTCGGACCAAAACCTCAACCGAGTAGACACAGGAATCACATTTGAATGGAGGTTGTGCTTAGTTTGAGCGCTTGGACTGCGCCGCCGCGCCGCGCGCTATCCACCCGCGCCGCCGCCTCGTCATCTCAGGAAGAGGTTCGCGCCCTCAAACTCCTCCTCCGCCGCGGCAACGCCGTGGCGAATCGCGACGGAGGCGTCCGCGGCGGTGCCGCCCGCGCCGCCACGCTGCCGCTTGGCGCCCTGTCGCCGCGTCGCGCCGGGGTCGAGGGCGGCAGAATCGCCCCCCTCCTCCTCGGGCGCAGACGGCGGGCGCCTCCCGAAGACAGACGAGAAGAGCTCGCCCAGGATGACGGGGCGCTCGGGCACCACCGGAAACATGAAGTTTTGCAGCGGCGGCTGTACCTGGGGGGGCGAGGCGAGGGGGGGGGGAGAGGTGGGGAGAGGGGCGGGGAGGGTTGGGCGGAGGCGAGAAGAGGTGAGCACAGTGCGTGCCGCGGGTCTCTCGGCGGTCTCTCGCCCATCTCTCGGCTGCACCTCATACGAGAGTCGTCGCCCCTTGGACTGGCGCGACTCCGCCTTGCGCTTGGTGCGCTTGAGCTTCGGCGCGGCGGCGGCGGCGAGGGCGGCACCCCCCTCCTCGAGTAGCGACCGCAGCAGCGAGTGGTAGAACGGCGCATCGTCGTACACTTCGCCCACCGCCCCCGCAACGCCGCCCTCTCGCAACCCCAGGACCGGCTCGGCCAGGGTGTGCGCGCGCTGCGCGCGCAGCGTCGACCTGTTCACAGCTGCAGGTGTGAAGAGACGCCGTTCACAGCGTCGCCCTGCGTTGTGGGATCACGGACAGCAGAGCCACGGACACCAGGGCATGCGGACTGCGGCCTCGTGCCGTGTGCCCACACCCTCGGGTGGCACTACGGGCTGCAAATACATACTGCGAGCACAGCTGAGCACAGCTGAGCACAGCTCGGTACAGCTCGGTACAGCCGCGTGCAGCAAAGTGCAGCAGTGCAGCCGCGTGCAGCGAGCCCCCCTCACGAGGACTGCCCTCTACTCCTCCCCCCCCCCCCCCTTCCCCCCCCCGCCCGCATCTAGCAGCTGCCGACGCTTCCGGCATCTGGCCGAGCAAGTGGTCGACCTGGGACAGCAGGCCGCCCCCGCCGCCCGCGGAGAAGCGCCGGCTCGCGG